GAGCACACGGCGGTGCTTAGCCCGAGCAGGTTACACCGCTAGCTTATGCTACACCGTAACCTCCCGCTAGTCCTCACAACGCCCAGGCGTTTCCTTCCGCCGGATCCGAAACAGGTTTTACTGGAGGCTTCCGTATCCAGTAAGCACATGTGTCCCGTGGAAGGTGAGGACACCTTTTTTTATCATTTTACCATAAGTTAGAGGCTACCAAAAACTCTGTGCTGTCGGTCAACACTCAGAGTTTATATGAGGAATTGGTTGGTAGTGGATCCGGTGACATTTGTGAACCAGCCATTACAATTGATTTAACCGGTGATGATACTATCAGTGCTTGCCCTGTATTCAATAGCCACAATAAATTAAAAAAATATATAAAACTAAGTAAAATCATTAGAAAACTGAAAAAGAAGCAAAATCTGTGTAAAACAAATATTTACCTAAGAAAACAAAAAATTAAATTATTGCAAGAACTTGAATCATGCAAAAGTGATTTGAAACAACATCGGGCAGTATATGACATAGATGTTCAATCGCCTAAACAAGAACTTTTACAAAGAGAAATGTTCTTAAATGATAGGTATGTTCCAAAAATATGAATCTGCCCAATTGGAAATAAACAAACATATGATTGAGGCAGGTAAACTTGTGGATCTAGTAACTTATAGTGCTGAGAGGTATGAGTCTCTTGCAAATAATCTTTCTTGTAGCTGTGCCCTCACTCCACCTTCTGAGCCAGAAGTTGTACAACAACCAATGAGTCAACCAGCTGTTACATACAGCGCTGGTGTGTTTACGGACTCAGTGGGTGCAGGTATTGGGTCACTTATTGCCAATTGCCTTAACTATAGGATAACTAATTACTGTTAACATAATATAAAATTTGGCCAGATTATTAAAATAATTTCACAGAAACAGATCACACAAAATCAGCCAATAGTGATTTTGATGACTTTAGCTTTCAATACACAACCCCCCAGGCAGTAATAAAGGCGTTCAATGAGATCAAAGTAAAGTCAACTGAAGATCTTTGGGGAATGTCTGTTCGAGTGTGCAGGTCGTTTATAGAGACTATTGCGCCGCACTTAACTTTCATTTTTAATAAAAGTGTAGATCAAGGGGTTTTTCCGGATTTAATGAAACATAGTAAAGTAGTTCCATTATTTAAATCAGGTGATAGTACAGAACCTAATAACTATAGGCCGGTCTCTATTTTGCCAGTGCTCAGTAAAGTGTTCGAAAGGTTGATGCTTACTCAAATGCAGCGTCACTTTAACACGAATTGTATTTTCCATGACCATCAATACGGGTTCACCAAAGGACGTTGCACTACGGACGCAGGAGTATCAATTATAAAACAAGTTTTCAACTCGTGGGAAAAAGCACAGGATGCCATCGGAATATTTTGCGACTTTCAAAGGCATTCGACTGTGTTGAGCACGAGACGCTGTTACTGAAGCTAGAACAAGGGGGGTATCCCTAGATTTATTGAAATCATACCTTCAAGAAAGAAAAATTAAAGTACAAGTGAACAAAGTTAACTCACTGGGTGCTAGCGTATCTATGTGCGTACCGCAGGGCTCAATATTAGGTCCTTTTCTATTTTTAGTTTATGTAAATGACCTGCCCCATATGTTCCAAAATGAACCGCATATGGTATTATTCGCTGATGAGTGATGACACTTCATTGATTTTTAAAATAAATAGACGAACAAACAAATATGACGAAGTTAATAATGCCTTAATGAAGGTTCAAAATTGGTTTACAATAAACAACTTATTACTGAATGATAAAAAGACTAAATGCATTAGATTTATTTTACCAAATGTTAAAAGTAGGTAACGTATGTGATGATATATTATTAAATGATCAGAAACTAGAATTTGTAAAAGAGACTACTTTCCTGGGGATCACTGTAGATGAGAAGTTGCAATGGGGGCCCCACATCAGGTCTCTAGCAGGACGATTGAGCTCTGCAGCTTATGCTGTCTGGAAGATCCGTCAGCTAACCGACGGCAAGACTAGTGTACTTTAGCTACTTTCACAGCATCATGTCGTATGGAATTCTGTTGTGGGGACAGGCATCTGACGTTGAGTCTATCTTTATCTTGCAAAAGCGTGCCGTCAGAGCTATATATAACTTAGGTCGTCGCGAATCTCTCAGAGAAAAGTTTAAAGAGATCAACATTCTGACCGTACCGAGTCAATTTATTTATGAAAACATTATGTATGTTAGGAAAAACCTACACTTATTTGTAAAGGTATCTGACAAACATGATTATCATACTAGACATAGGAATAGATTGAGTCAGCCTTTATTTAGATTGGCAAAAGTGCATAAGTCATTCCTGGGTTTCTGTGTTAAATGTTATAATAAAATCCCAGTTGAAATTCAAAATTTAAATGAAAGCAAATTTAAATTATGTATAAAGAAACATTTATGTAAAAATGATTGACAAACTAAATGATTATATACAAGATAAAAATGCTTGGAGGCTAGCTGGTCCTACTCCACAGGATGTTTAGAGTATTTTTTTTTTTATTTTAATTATTAAATTGTACGCTATGTTGTTAATTGTTGATGAACTTCTAAGATTTTGTAAATGTGAGTGCCCTGTAACCTATTATAATTAAGTAAGACTTGTAGAATATAGGTACTTGTGTCGGCTGGGAGCTGTCATGCTCACTCAGAGGTCTCATTGGCGGTGGCACGGGCACTGGATCGCCCAATTCCCTATAATATGGTTAAGTTGGGCGGTGCTGGTGTACGTGTCATGTTCGTGAACGGGCGCCGCCTATTGGGACTGGTCATCTCCAGGCTGTCTAAATATGTTGTCCTTGAGGTTCACTTCTTTTTCGTACTTTTTGCCTGAACATTAGTGTTACATTGTTCTCACATAACAGAACCGACTAAATGATGTAACAAAGAAATGTATTGTAAAACTGATTGAAAAAGAGTAACCATGGAGTTTCTTGCTCGTTCTTCTCCATAGGAATCTACACTTTGGAACGAGCAAATAGCTTCACTAGAGGACAGACGGACAGACTAACACGCTTAATTTTAAAGCTCTTGTTATATACTTTTTTCCTTTTTTGCTTGCTTGACGTTCAAAAGTGCCTACTGTGGTCTAATTGAAATAAATGATTTTTGACTTTGACTTTTGACTTTTATCGGTTTGGAAAATCGTCATAGGGGCCCACCGCCCTCGGGGAAGGGCGAAAGGTACTGTCGGACTCTTACTGACTAAAAGCCAACCCGGTGTTCTCCCATTTACCCATGTGTCGGAGGGGCGGGTATCGCCAAAGCATTCGTCGCATCCCCCCGACGGGTATTGGCCCCCCAGATAGTCAGGCGGGCCCCGTTACCTACAGCGGCCGTCCGTAGTCCCGGCCGAAGGCGCGCGCGGGACACGGCGCCATCGCCTCGAGTCTTTCGTCCAGCTACGATGGCCGCAGTTCGGCCACTCCTATGACGTCTATTGCGTCTCTGCGGGAGGAGAGGGAGGAGAGAGCCTCTTTCTCCCTTTCAGCCGCTTCCTTTTCGAGCATCATGGCCTTGCAAAAGGTAGCGACGGCACTTCACCTTGACTCGCTCTCGCTCCCGGCTCCCGGCCTATGCGACACAAGCACTTCCCGAAAAACCCATGTCCGGTAAGCACCTGCGTCAGCTGGAAGCTGATGGTGCCGTGGCTCCTATTGAGTCACTCCTCTGGAACGGGTCTTGCCGCCGCTACTGGCGCGTGGGTTGCGCCAAACGTGCCTGCATCTCCGCCACTAAGGCTTGGTGGAGTTCTGTCTTGCGTGGATCATCTTGTCGAGGTACCAGACGCTCGCCGCCCTTGACTGCCTCCTTGCGCCACCAATAGAGAGCGACGTGAGGAGCTTTACGTTGTGGTCTCAGTGCGGGGATCCGGCTATTAGGCTCGCTGCCTCAAAGGAGATCGTACGGTATCCCCTTAATATCCTGACGGTCATCGCTCGCTAAAATGTATGTTTATATAATGTAGACAAAATGTAAACAAAATCAACCGACAGCTTTCTGGCGAAACTAAAAAGGTAGCTGATCAGATAGACGTAAAAATGTAGTCCCTCGGAATAGTATAAAGTCAATAATATCCCCTCTAATAATAATTAACCCTCGGAATAGTATATAGTCGGGAATATTAATCAGTATTAAACATATTATGTTATAATAGGATATAGGATTCTCTCATAGGACTCTTCTAGATTTAATAATAAGCGATTTCCAGGGTCGCCTGTCTCGTCGACCTTGTTTCAGGAGGCTAAGTGAATATGGTAAAATAGATAGGTATTGAAACTGAAACAACTAGGTACCGAAAATACATATTACTTGATAACACTCCAGTTTTTGTCATTATAAATTAAGTTTGGCTGTGGGTGCTGAAGTGGTAAGCGCTACAGCGGAGTTATGAGCCATACCACCTGTGCATACCACAGACGATTACTGATATTCGAAAAATATTTATGTATTGCTAGGTAATGCACGGAGCTGTCAGTGTAGCGACAGCAGAAAGATCTTTCCGACCCCGTGACACTTAACACACCAGCGGTTGCCCAGCCACTGCATGGACTGCACCAAGCGTGCAGTTTTAAAGTACAGCAATAACGTACAGTGGTATATTCATAAAATACTTACCTATTTTTTACTTGTATCTATTGTCACAAAAACTAAGTTTTAAATTTTTGACTTGATCACGACTTCGGCGATAAAGCTGGTTTCGCCCTTGCTAGGCATATAAAGGCACCTGTGTATGTCTTGATAAAAAATTACACGCAGTAAAACAATATCTTCATTTTATTTTGAGTTGTCGTAACTAAAAACCACCCCTGTCCTATGTGTTATGCCTATATCCCTCTAAGGAAAAAAGAACTACTCAGAGTATAATTAAAAATACAGGATCTATACTACTCTATAAAAAACAAACAGCTGATGAACGTCTCGTGTCCTAAGCGTTTGACATGACAATTGACACATGACAGTGATAACAGTTCGCTCTCGTCTTGTAGCCAAATCCATCATCGATTTCGTTTCGTCGTAGTAACATACAAGTGGCTAGTGGCGCTATCTTATCGCTTCATTATTATTATTAGAAAGCCCTATCATCCAGTTACGCAACTTAAAAAGGCTATGTAAGTAATGCGTTTATTACTGAGGCCGATAGTTATCGTTAGGAAGGCGCTGCAGGCGAACAGGAGCGTGCAGTTGAAACATCCATTCACAACAGGTACGACGCTCGCACCACAGCGTGTTTTGTAGTCTATGCTACCGATATATAAATACGGAAGGACCTCGTTCACGGTCTATTTTGGAAACGTGCCAGTTAGATACCGAAGAGTTAGCTAAACATACAAGTTTGATTCGTGTTTTAGCATTAGTGTGGAGAGCCATGGAGGATAAAGAATCGTTGAAGAAAAGATTGACCCCACTGCAGTATCATGTTACTCAAGAAGCTGGAACAGAAAGACCATTTACAGGTTAGGCTCTTTAAACATACCATGTATTATAAAAACAGTGTAGATTTGTTTTCATAATAAACATGTTCTTGTACCTTTCAGGTTGTTACAACAAGTTCTATGAGGAAGGCATGTATTGTTGTGTAGTTTGTAGGCAAGATCTATTCACTTCTAAAACCAAGTTCGACTCAGGATGTGGTTGGCCAGCATTTAATGATGTTCTCTCCAAAGAAAAGGTTACTTTGCACCAGGACACAAGTGCAGGTATGTGCAGCTGTGTAAATATACTTACTGTCAGTGTATTTATGTGAATGTGATTTTAATGCATGGAAATAATATTTTTAATGATTTGAAAATATTTGGGGTGTCAGTCTCATGTTTAACAGTATGACAAATGGAACAAAAATATAAGTGATGTTTATTTTTTAATTTTAGTGTTTATTTTAAGAACATTTTAAATTAAATGAATAATATAAATGTATGTAGTTATTTATAATGTCACTTATTTTTGTGCCACACTGGTGTAACCTTTAAAACATTCATTGAAATGAATAACAATATGTACCAAATTTTCAATGCCATTCAGTAACACACAGAGCATTGGATATAATAGGCTCAACAATAGTGTTAAAGCAGGCCTCCATACAAGGTTGCTGTCTAATTCCTTCCACTGTCAATATCCTTCAATCTAATTTTAGTAATAAATGACAGTGCACTAAAACTTTTAAGTGTTTAAGCAAGTCAGGTTGTGGAAACACTGTTGTTTATTAATAGAATTGGAAGCTTACCCATTTCCATGACAAATCATCACTTTGCAATTTATTGCACATTTTATTTAGATATTTATGCCTCAATAAGTATGAAGTATTATATTCCATTTTTCTATAACTTTTTGTTGAATATATTGTAATGCTTCAATATTGAAAGATGTAGCTAAAACAAAGTAATATTGCATTTTAGTGCCAGTTTTCTCAATAGTGAACAAGGTAATAGTCTTAGACCCTATAATATTTATGATATATAATCATGACACGGGGTACTACCACTACCACTGGGTAAAACCCAAAATACAATGTAATATTTAAATTTTATTGCACTCAAATTTACCAGTACAATATAGCATGACTTGACAAAATTTTGTATTTTTCTAGATATAATGCTTATGCTTCAATAATATTCCGCTCAGTCATTCATGTAATCAAATTTTACAAGACATGATAATGACTATTCTTGTGTACATATTGTTATCAAATAATGCTTGATACCAGCATGACACTAAACATTTCAACAGATAGTACCTATAGTGAGATTGTGACACCTACCCTGCAACTATCAAGTTACCTTGAGAAACATACTATACTTATAATTTATGTATAGTGTTACTTCCATATCTAGATTCATTCCTCACCTTATTTATACACACACTGCATTGTAATCTATGACTTTGCCCTTCAACTGTTGGGAAATATAATATAGGTAGGTACTTACTCATTATGTTCCTCATATTACTTCTCAATAGTTAAATACAATGAATTAGCATCAATAAAGGTCTTTTACATAGAATTAAACAAAAATATGAAATTTCACTAAATAATAATTATTACTGTAAAAGTGTATTAAAGTAAATTTTTACAGCATTATTCTATCTCAAGAAAATTGCTAGACATTTGAAATTGGGACAGATTCTTGGATCCATTCATAGACCAGGCATAACCCCTGTTTCCACCACTTAATTACTATTACTTGGCCTCTTCTTATATGAAGAGGATCCAAAACTTGGTATTTAAACATCACACTTGCATATTAGGATCATTTCAAACTTATAATTAGACATTATAAGTCCAGGTTTCTCCCGATATATTTGTTCACTGCCTGTCATCGGTGTCTAAATAAACTTAAACATTCTAATAGACCCATGATTCTAATAGCAGCCACCTCAAAAAAAGTTTGACTCCTACACAGGGTCCCTGTAGAAGGTAATGTATCGCACAATCCCAAATACTGCCTCTGACAGGTGTTTTGCCCCCTATGTTGGGAGACTCCTTAAGTCTGGACTACTATCTACGACACCTACACAAAGAAATATGGACACATGCGAGGTAGACTTAATTATTTTAAGGAAAACAGAAAATCTATTTGCCTGAAACATGGTAGGTTTTACAAAGTGGGGAAAACAATAAGATGATCTTGAATTTAATTTACAGTCATCTTATTTTTCATTGTTTGTATAATATAAAACCATAATAACATACAATTTAACGATAGAGAATGCTGAGAGTGAGTATTTTAAGACCGTAATTGCATGTACAAATGGATATAATTAGGTAGCATGTGCTTTGGTTTGAATTTGTGGATAGCATGGTTTTAAATTATGTAATATTTAATTGAAAAGTTAAATTAACATTTGTTTTAAGCAATAAAATTATGATCAGCAATATACTACACAAATGATTATTTTAATATATGTAATTACATTTTGGAATATTTATTTTATAAGATGTATAAGACAAAAAAATCCATAAAATATTTGTACATTTGCTTTATTTTATACTCAGCCATAAAATATGGTGATGGGAAATTGGATTTTGGTGCTAATACATTTATCTTTTTTCTGTCTTCCCTGTATCCTTGACCATCCTCCGACACATTCCTGACTCCACAACAAACGTAAGTCGGCTCTGATTGGTAATCGTTGGTATAAATCCAATATGATGCTTCTTCTATCTACGTTTAACAATTATTGAAAATGCACTGTGTGTCATATCTCGTTACTTTTTACACAAATACGCCTCACTCGCAAATAATATTGCAATGTATTCATGCTATTCGACATAATCTTATTCTCGTTCAACTCTGGTTGGACGATCACAAACAATACACAAATGATCACACAATTCACTTTGGATGCGGCCGTATTGTTGAATTACTGCATCACTCGCTACTTAACTGTTACACGCCTTTTTTGTGACATCACCCTAACTGTTGTGGAATGCGCATGATAAATAATATGCATTTGTCCTCGCCACCTGAACCGCCCCGTCTTGTCCCGTCCCGCCTGTGCTCCTCCTGGATGGCTGCCGGCTGGACACTGCGCCGCGGCCGTGACGACGCGTGCAAACACCATGCTCTCGACACCGACTCGGATTATTCATATCATTCATTGTTCAATGTGAAATGTAAATAAATGGCTTTTTGGTGATTGGACCTGGTGTGTGAAATGGAAATTATTAAAGTTGGAGCAAATATATTACTGGTTTTAACACGACCAGGTTTGGTGCGAACTGAGGTGCGATGCTCCAAGTGCTCCGCTCACCTGGGACATGTGTTTGATGACGGGCCAGCGCCCACACGAAAACGTTTTTGCATTAATTCTGCTTCCTTGGACTTCATACCTGCTGAAGAGAGGAAAGACTAACGTGTTGCCACGTGAAAGATAATATTATATGAACTATGCCTTTTTTGTAGACTTAAGTAATGCTTAAGTAATGCTTTGATCGTATAATTCGGCAGAATTGAATACTCGTAATTATATAAAAATCAAATGTTTAAATTTGCTTCTAATGAATCGATACCTACATGCTTGTAATATGGAATCCGAAATATATTTTTATAGAAAGCGTCACCTCTGTGCCTACTAATCATAATAATTACTGTCTACGTGTTGCAATTTGCGCATCAAATTCCAGAAGGTATTATTTTTGTAAATTCCTTGCTACTTCGTGGCACATATTTTTTAATTGAAATACGGACATAATTTAGTTACCATACCAAGTCATAGTTATTTTAATTTTATGTACACACCACCATAGTCTCCTATAGCAAATAACTATTACTGATGTAAGTCGGATTATTCTTTGTTTACTATAATTAATTTATTAGTCTCGGAGATTACGCGTGGTGATTTTGTTGTTAATTTATTTTATATAATGACATGTGAAGTAGTACTTGTGTTGTACAAATCTTTATTCGTAACTGCTGATTATTTATTAGATACATAGGATATTATTTGGATAATACATATTTTTTGTAATTTGAACAAGTGATTTTATTAACATGAACAGAAACCTATGAGTAACATAACGCCCCCCTTATCCCTTATTCACCAAAGGTTGAGTAAGAGATGGGCTTAATTGCACACTCTTTTTGCAGATAAAATTGATAAAAAAAGTCACAACATCCGTTGCGACTTCGGTAAGTAATGTGTCAATTATCAAATAGCCAATAGAATAAAACGATTTCTTAATCATGGTGAGTCTTTTATTATAGTATGGTAGTAGGTAATTTATATGCACAAGTTGCTCATACATGGCACTGGTGTTTTACAACTGTCAAAAAACATGAAAAATGTTGGAACCACATTAAATGTCTTGTTCAGTTACCTATTACAATAATTAATACATTTTCAACTTATACTACATACATAATTACAGTTATTTTCTCAACATAACATTCTATGCATACTCAAATTCATCTTCTTGATCACATTATGTAGTTAATACACTTCTTACAATATTTTAGTAGTATAGATACTGAATAACTTTGTTCAAGCTCTCTTGAAGTTTTGGCTATAATTTTTACATTTCTACATTATTGCACAATTTGGTATGGGTTGGTGCACTCTTTATTGTTATGGACTTTACAAATAATTTTAATTATTGAATATCGATGTCTTAGGCCGTGTCTTGATGATTGATTATCCTAATTTTCTATTTGTTAACTATCTACAATAATTCATGAGTTGTGCGGTTTACTTTTAACTGCGCTGCGTTATAAAAGGCTTATGGGTATTTTTCTCATAAATATAAATAAAATCGAATAATAATAAACCATTTTGTTTTGCCGTAGTCGGGTAAAAAGGCATCACAATAAATAATTTAAATTGGTTTTGACATTGATATGGACATAGAAAAAGAATTAGTTTTGAAGAAATGAGTAAAGATGAACATATAGCAAGTCATATACAATGCACCAACCTGGACTGCACAGATTCTAGATAGCGTAAATTGGTCACGTTCATATTGTCAATGAGTAGTTCTACTCGTTTCTAAGTTGTGTCTGTACAATATACATGAGGCTCGCCCGAGCCGCAGGCGCTGCAGCCTCTGTATCATATCACGTCACATACGCATTACATACACGTCGCGCGCCTTCCATTCATTCCCGCAACTCTCACACATTTAAAATATTGGATACATATCAAATAAAACAAAATTTAACAGCATCTGTAGGCACAACCTAAACAGTAAAAGCAGAGAGACAACTTGCAAAGTCTTACTAATGTAAATAAAATACTTCAATTATTTAATACACATAACTGATATTACTGAATCCCATACTTTCTACTATTGTCATAACGATAATGTGATAAAACTATCGTTAAATGAATCGTACGTCTATTTTTCCATTTAAAATCTAATAATCTGCACACATGTAATTTACTTATTTCTTGCTCTAATAAATACTCACTGTTTGTGCCGTAAAGGAGACGATCGATATATTTATCTTTCTCTAAGCTAATATAAATCAGCTGAATAGACTTTACAAACTTAATACTATGTAAATGCTTCACCTCATGACTAACAATAAATGGTTTTTAAAATGTCAATGTAAAATAATGAATCACGCGTCAATTGTCTAATGAAAATGGTTTTTGGCGTATTTCTTTAACAAGTAAAATAATCAATATGGATATGATTATCCGCTTCACCAATAATAATAATATAATCTCAAAGAACGTAAATTAAAAGCCGTAAGCAAATTTAAATAAATTAACAATTATCATACATAAAACTATCACTAAACTAGTACTATCAAAAGCAAATAAGCAACATATACTTAGTCGGGTCATAAGTTCTGTCACAAACTTTTGATGTAATAACTTATACGCCTTTTGACAATTATTTAAAAATTATATATGAAATGAAAGGTCATTAAATGTACAATATAATTTTATTTACATTATTCGAAATGCCCTCCCCCATTTTGAACACATGCCCTTAATCTACGCGGCCAGTCATCGATCGCTGCACGCACCACATTCATATCTATGTCTGCCGCTGCTTTAACCAGAGATGCTCGGAGAGACTCCAAATTCGGGTGAGGTTTAGCACAGACTTTTTCCTCCAAATATTGCCATATCTTGTAGTCCAGTGGGTTTAAATCTGGACTAGAAGAGGGCCAGTCTTCATGCCGGATGAAGTCAATTCCACGAGCGATCAACCAGTCTTGCGTACTTCGTGCCTTATGAGCCGGTGCAGAGTCCTGTTGGAATATCCAATGCCTGTTCCTGAACATTGTCTGAGAAAGAGGTTCCACTATGTTTGTTAGGACAGTATTTTGATAAACTTCGGCACTAGTTCTCACACCTTTTTCACAGAAAAACACCTCAGTTACGCCTGAATATGAGACTCCAAGCCAAACCATGAATGAGGAAGGGTAATGCCCACGCTGGACCCTCGCAATACGCGCGCTTGCTTCTTCACTGCTGTGGGCATACACCTTATCATTTTGTTTGTTAAAACTTTCTTCAATAGTAAAAATTTTTTCATCCGAAAAAAGAATTTCGCGGTATTTTTTTCCCGCGTACCGTCGTAGCAAAGCGCGGGATCTGTCTAGCCTAATTTTTTTTAAACGCTCGTTCAAAAAATGTCCTGTCTTTTTACGATAAGCTCGTAGTCCCAGGTCTTCATTTAGTACTCTTTTAACAGTGGTTCTGCTTAGCCCCATCTGCAGAGCTAGGATTTTTTGTTTACGTACGGGATTTCGTTCGATTCGCGCCTTCACTGCTTTGATGACCTTATGTGTCCGAACTGTGCGAGGTCGGCCGCTTCTCTTACGATCTTCGAAGCTTGACTCTTCGGTGTATCGTTTGATAGTACGATAAACAAACCGTAACGTTATTTTCAAATTTTGAAGAATATTGAAAATGTCTTTTGGCGCGTAACCACAGCGGTGCAACGCGATAACCGCGATTCTGTCTTCTTTATTCGACCACTCCATATTTAAAAATGAATAAAAAATAATTTCTTTTTTATTTTCTACAAGCGCGAAAGTTCTATTTTTAAAATAAGTCGAAGAATTTCTGGCCAGTAATCGAAAATTAAAAATATAAGGTTTTGACAGAACTTATGACCCGACTAAGTAAATCAGTGTCTAAGTGATACAAATTATATGAGCTACACTCAGTTCCTAATAAAATGCTTACAATGTACCAAACAATGCTCTAACATTAAAAACAAAATATTTCGAAATAGGAATATACGTAAAATCGAATGAAATGATAGTTCCATTCACTCGGTCACCTTCCAATCAGTGCCGCGGTCCGCCTCCCTATTGATGTGTTTCCAACTAACTGCCCCGACAACTATCATCACAGTGTATAAGCTGAACCGATACTAACGTAACGCCTCTACTGTACTATTTATATTTTACAAGGTCGCCTAAACATCTGCCAGTCTTCGTTTGCAGCTATAATATTTCGTATTATTTCAATTATTCGTATCTAAATGTCTAATATCTATCTACACTATCCGATCTTACCGTACAAGTCAAAAGAAACACGTCAATAAGAGATCATTTCGCTAACAGAACATATAACGCTACACAACACTACAACGATTTAAAGTTAGTGGACTGCACTTTATTATCGATCTCTTCTCTTGTAAAAATATTACCTCTATTATATTCAATCGGTAGCAGTTTTACATGTAAAATAGATATTGCTCTCTAATTAGGTTTCGTCACAGATATCCACATGGTGGGGCACTGGTCGCACGCGTGTCCGAGTGAGTCACATGCGAGTCGTACTGGCGTGGAGTCCACCGGTAGGCACTGAGGGCGCTAGGGGGGCGCGGGCGGCGCCACCGGCCGCCGCTAATGGCCTTTGGCCGCCTCCTTGGCTGCCATGATCAGGGGAGTTAGCGACGCCAGGGGGCGCGCCATTTTTAGGAAGGGGTGCTGTAATGGAAAACACTTAAATTGTTAAACTTGAATATTGATCAATTGAAATAATAGTTCAAAACTACGTTCGATCCACATCCAGCAACGTTCAACATCCAGCCCAGGGAAAAATATTAACGGATTTTAAGATATGTCGTTCCTGCACTGGTAGACATTATTTGTATGAACGTTAGTGCACAGACTCGGATATAATCCAAAAAATATAAGGTGCAACCAGTACTTTTTACTTCCGCCTCTTATACAATAGCATTCGGAGATTGAAAAATTCCATGGCCGTCTAGGTAAACACCGCCATGGTTCGGTATAACATTAGAAATGGCTTGAATTTGAACCTGAAATTGGTCTAGTGTTGTTCAGCGATAACTGGTTTCGGTCCGTAAGTATCCATAAAATACCTTTAATAAATCGAGAGCGGTGGCGCGCCTCTCGACGTCCACCTCTAGGCACTGGTCGAGGAAGTCCTGGAAGACAGTGCTGAGCTTCTCCTTGTCCTTGATGTCTGGCTTCCCGTTCGTTGCTATTAGATATAGCGCACGCAAGGGGTTTTCGTTCAAATACGGCGGCTCACCTTCTATCATTTCAATTGCCATTATACCTAGTGACCATACATCCACCTAAAAAGGTAAAAGTAAAGTAAAATTATTTTTAAAGTAAAAATAAAATCTTACAGCAAACTTTATTGAATGCTTCTTTGTGATTTCGTTAGGACGATTTACAATGTATATTCAGTTTGTACAATAAATCATCAAAATATAAAACTTAAATTCAGAAAATACAAAGTATTTGATGTTTCGAATGTGGAAGAACGTTTAACATTTGGTCAAAAAATAGAACTAACCTTAGGCCCATACTGCTTCCGCGTAACAACTTCTGGCGCCATCCAATAAGGCGTGCCAACCATTGTTGTTCGTTTATTTTGTTCAGGAGATATTTGAGCGCAGAAACCAAAATCAGCTGTAAAGTAATGAATTAAGTCATTATTTTGTTTGGCTTGTATCCTTCCTTATGACCAAGCTGGTCTTAATCTCGGTTATTTTTACATCTGTGCTTCTTCCTACTCGTATTGACAGGCTGACTGTAAAAGCCGCTGAAGACAAAGCAAAGACAGGAAAGTATATGATTAGAAGACATAAAAACTCATAGTTTCAGCCACCATAGGATAGGATTATGAATTTTAGATAAGTAATTTAATGTAGACTGACGTGGCAAAAGTCGATAAAATCTAATAGAGCAAGAGCCCTTGACGGCCAGACCTCCCAGGTAACCACAACCCAAACTCTATAGTCGCTGGTCGTTCTTACCTGTATAGGAGGCATATATAGAGAAAATTTCAACCTTTATAAAATAAGGAAGGTCTGGCCGTCAATACGCACAGTGGGACCAAACTGCATGCAAATAGCGCAATCCAGAGAAAACTGGCTAAATTTGGAGGAGGCCTTTACCTGCAGAGGTGTTCCTACAGAATAATATACATGAATAAAATTGTACATATAAAACTGGTAAAATTAACTTATTAGGTAACTTATTTAACTTTATTTGTATAAGTAATTAAAACTTTTGTTACTAAAAAAAGGTACCTATTGTAAGCGTACATTTTTCTGAGGAAAATAAAAGGCTTTTTTATTTTTATCTGCACATAAAAACCAAATGTCTTTTAATTACAGGCCTCCTTAGAAGAGATAGCGAGCACTGTGCTCTTGGGCTATAATACGTTAATAGTATGCGTGATGTAAATGTTGTATTATTGACTCACTCAGCTTTACTTGTCCATCAAGTCCAAGCAGTATGTTGTCGGACTTGATGTCTCGATGTATGACGTGGTTAGTGTGCAGGAAGTGCAAGGCCTGCAAAACTTCACGGCACACGGCGGCGATCTGTCCCTCGTCCATACACGTCTCGGTCACCACGTCCGTTAGAGACCCACCCGCTAAGTATTCCATTACTACCCATAATTCCTAAGAAATAAAGTGGACTTTATAATAACCGAGTGAGGTGATGAAAGTATCCATCAATACAATTTAATGCTAATAGGTATGGTAGTTTCCAACTAGTCAAATTCAACACCTTTATTGAAATGACAAAAACTATATTTACGAAATCTAGGTACTAGTACTAATCTAGAAAAGATCTAAAATTAAGTATATCATCAAATCTATAAATCAAAGTTGATATTTTAAGAATTCTTTGTATTGAAAACTTCTTAAATGACACCTATTGTACAATCAACTTCCGTTTATCTATATAATTATGCACACACATAAATACTCACTTCATTAACTAGATAACTATCAAGATAGTTGACTACATTGTTGTGTTTGTTCTCCCGCATCACGAGGATCTCATTGATGATAAGTTCTTTCTTAGGCTGTTGACTTAAGTTCATTTGTTTGATTGCTACCTCCATACCGGTTGATGTTTCTATTGCTGTATATACTATTCCCGATGCACTATTCAAACAAATATTGGTTAAAAAATTGAACATTAAAGTAATATAGTAAGTATTAAAGTAAATTTAAACTTCTTACCCCTGGCCAATCTTTTCCATTTTAGTGTATTTTCTGTTGGGGTCACCAACACTAACAATAGTTCTTAATTTCTCTAATATTTCTTCATCAGTCATTTTCTTTTTCCTTTGCTGCTGAGCTGTTGCTCTTCTATAAAGTAAAATTAACATGTGTTATATAGTTTGTAGCACTCTAAATAATGAGATTTTTTCGTTGAATTTGTCTGTTTTTGATATATTATTTAGTTATTCGCGTCGTGACAAGAATGTTGTTAGTGCTGTAATTAATGCATACCCGGTATCAGTGTTGGTTTGTGCGCCATTAGGCGCGGGCTGGGCGTGAGTGGCGTGCGGAGCGTGGGGTGGCGGCGTATGCGGAGCCAGCGGGCCCAGGGGGGCGCCCGCAGGGTTCTTGTTGCGATCCAGCACAGCGCCTGAGCCCACTTCCGCTCGACTGCAAATCTGTTCAAAACATTCACATTACTCATATTGTCAGAGACAGTCAAACAAAGAACTGTTATGAATTAAGTAAATTACTTACCGAATGTGTAGTAAGGGCAGGATGTGGTACGTGTGGTGGCGAAGCGGGAGCGGGCGTGGGTCGCGGAGGTGGTGCCTCCTCTTCCTCGATAGGTTTTGTGTACTAAAATTATAAGTACGATTAAACATTTTTTTAAATTAAATATATATATTTTGTATGATTAATAATACATATTATACTTACAATACTTTTGGTGCGATCTGGTCGTGAAGGTGGCGGCGGTGGGGGTTCGGGGTGTTCAGTGTCCGTGGGAGTCGACGATGATGGACTGCTGGATGATACTCGGGACACGGACGATCCTTTAATAACATTATCAGATGACATTAGGTAAAACTCGATGCGAGACAAATATTTATCAGTCAATAAGCAGCAAATTTTTTTTTTTTTTTTTTTATGTAATAGGTCGGCAAACGAGCAAACGGATTACCTGATGGTAAGCAATCAGCGCCGCCCATGGACACTCGCAACGGAGGAGTTACGAGTGCGTTGCCGACCTTTTAGGGATTAGGGATTTGGAGATTTAGGGATTGAGGAGGGATTGGGGAAGGGGAAGGATTGGGCCTCCGGTAACCTCACTCACACGGCGAAACACAACGCAGTGGTTATTTCACGCCGGTTTTCTGTGAGGCCGTGGTATCACTCCGGTCGAGCCGACCCATTCGTGCCGAAGCATGGCTCTCCCACACTTAAAAAAAAATAGTCTTAAAATAAGCACCTGAGTGTGTGGTGTGCATCTGTGCAGACGTCATGTATTTGGAAGGCGGCGGCTGAGTTGCAGACGCGTCATACCACTTGAGCACATCTAACACAGCTTGCGGATTGTTCTTCTGCTCTTGTTTGCTTATGTTAGCGGCCATGAGCAGCCGCGCCCACGCCTCCGGCATGCCCTTAGAACAATCACACATTGTCAAAATAGAATATGATTATATTTAAATATTCATGCAGATTTGAATCTATGGTAGTTGTAGTAGCCATTTATAAAGCATGTGTGCGCTTGTACACAGGTCTAAATTGGGAACTGAATTTGATATTGTTTCAATACAAAGCAGTCTATTGTCCTCTTCAATCAACTATAAACTTGAAGGAAAATCTTAAATAGCCTGATGTCACACAGTGGCAGATTTAGAGTTTTAGGGATTTTATTTTATTCTGCTACACAGATTGAAGCTTTAGTACAAGAGTGTACAAGCGCAAGAACAGTAAATTGATGTAAGAATATTAATTTGTGTCATTTTAACACATCATCATGCAAAATGCTTATTGCAAACTCTTTAGATAACTGTGAATATTTAAACTGTACTACAGCCTGAAATGTGTAATATTAGGTAAATAGTAATTTTGTTAATGTTTTTATTTGTAACAATACTACTAAAAACAAAATTATTTTAAATAGCTAGGAATAATGAATAGACTCCAAGCAGATTGATTTATCTGTAAGATATTTCTACAAATACCTATTATGATCTTTACAAAGTTTTGATTCTATAAAAGTGTGAAACTGAAGCAAGGACTAATAGGTAGAAGATTAATGTTTTCATAATTTGAATACTAGAGGTACAGGTAGACTATGCATGCTACATAAGGACATTGCAATTTACACAAAAATACAGTAAGTCAAATTAAAAAATAATAAGAGTAGGTAAATCAAATATGCACATAATCACATTATATATCTCATTCGAGTGTAATGTAAGAATGTACTGAACATAATTGTAATAATTTAAGCTATTACTTACTGTCATAGGCAGCTTGAAACAAAAGCGGTAAATACATGGAACTCAATTACATGATAATATCATTACTTGTTCCTTAAGGATTGTTTTAGTTTCAAAATTTATTTGTTACAAACAGACAACTAAGTCACCATCACACATTTTTCAACAATGGTGGCCTACACATTCCATAATTTTAACCCATAAATTGTTAATCAAAAAGTACATTCTCTAATAGAACATGCTTACGCTTTTCCTCCAACTAATAATCAAGGTAATGTGTTACTATTAAGTGTGAAATTAAAATAATTAATTGAATTTCATTCAATTGCAATGATCCAGGTTTTCTATGATTTACTTGTTAATAACTAAGAATAATTAAAAAGAAATGTTAAATAAAAATACTTGATATGCCACTTTTATGAGAAAGCAAAGCATTTAAAGCTGTGAGGCATTGTGCTTAGGCAGAAAGCTCACTTGTTTTTATGTTATATAAATAAATAAATAAATAAAACAAAGTTATGTTAGACAATTTATAATTCAAAAACCAATTTGGCTAAAAGTTTGTGGGGAGCTTAGGACCAGGAAACTAACATTGGATACTTTTTGCCCTTTTTTTAAGATTGGAAGCTAAAAATTGCCTTTTCAAAGAATTGGTACCCGCTCATTGTGACTAATAAAAAATACCTGCCCTTTTTGGCCTGCCTCTATCCCCTTAAATGTCCAATCTTTTTGAAAGTCAAGATATACAATTTTATGTACATTTTTTAATATGTATTATCATTAAAATAATATTCAGTTCCGAGTTCTCATCTGTGTTCTAATCAAGGAAAGGGAAACCGTTAAGTTAAACCCTGAATTTATCGCAAGCAAAGCCCCAGGAAAGTGCTAGTTAGATAAGCATGATCATAAAGTCTGGGTACAGTAGAGATTTTATTGGGAACCTTAAATGCTAATAACTTGTATTCTACATGTGTGTTGCATATTATGATAGACACAACATTCCAATCATAGGTCAAACTTATTATTATACTTTTTAATAAAAATAAAGGTTTTTGGACCGTCAAACAGTACTCTACTCATACTTTTTAAATTAAAATTACTATTAATGTATGATACTTAATTACACAACTATATGTTAGTAACTTGTTAGACTGTAAATTTTAATCATTACCTTAATATAACCACATCACATTTCTAGTGCACTATTATTTTTATGAGGCTAGGCTGATGTGTCATGGGTTTTCCCCAAAGACCCATTTGAAATGTGGTAGTATATATTTGCATGGTTACTATTACGATAACAAACTATATAAATACAACTATAATGTTACTCACAGTAAACTCTCCGGTGACTGCATCAAACCCCACATGAACTGTATGTTCAAAGTTAGTTGGATAGCTAATATTTGGTTTGTTGTCATTGTGAGCTGTACTCTTTGAGCCTTTTATTTTAGCTTTCAAGGTTTTCTTCTTTCTATCACCTCCATCATCAGGTTCTGAAACCATAAAGTGAAATGTTAGGAAGCATTTTCAACTTAAATACTTACAATATATCACTTGTGTAGTGTTTCATGTTAAAAGTGACATCAATAATGGCATTGTTTATTTATGCTTGCCTATTGTTTACAAAGTGGTTAAACAATCAGATACAAGTCATATTAGAATGTCACAAGAAGTACAAATTGGATAGTTGCCAAACTTACCTTTTGGAAGAGGCCTCATATCTACAGATGCCACAGAATCTCCACGATCCGTGGCCCGGTTGCTAGTAAGCCGGACCGGCGGCGCAGGTGGTTTATCCTCATCACTCGACATTTCGTCTTCTTTTGCCCGTTCTACTAAAACAATATGTATACCAAAATAAATTTATCTATAGGAGACTTATATTGGGAAATATTTATCCCACAACATTTTGACACAATTCAAGCACTGCAAAAAAGATTTTGGAACGTAATATTATTCAAAGCAGTCACACATCGTCGCACGAATGTATCATCACTATATCACGCTATGCTTTTATCAACTACGGTGCTACCTACATTTTTATTATTTGGATATTTGGTACAACAAAACAGGCTTTTTGGCAAGATAAGACAAGAATAAAATAAAACTAAAGTAAGCCATAATATTACTCATGGACGCGCCCCGCAAAGGTTCGCGAATGCGACAAAAAGATATTGCTCAGATATTAAACACATATTTTTCACGCACCTGGAAAATTAAAGAATTATAAGGGTTGATAAAATAATAGTGTACGGGTTTATATCACATTTCAATTAATCACAACACTTAAAACACATATCTTCTTAAAACTTATTAATTTAATCATTCACACACATGAAACGATAGCAGTGATGACTAGAGCCGCCATTTCACTATGAGTTAGAGATGTCATTGAAGCAAAATTCAACCTGATTGTTGACATTAGAATCAAATCGACTAATAATCATCAAACCAGCCATACACCAGCCTGCTTGTCGATCATAAAATTTTAAATGGTTGTTTCGACGAACCTCCGAAAATATTTTTATGTTTATTGTGTCTTTTTTATACATCATTGTAAATCACTAGTTATTCTTGTTTTCGGGTGTCGTTTTTGTATCAGTAGTCACTAGCATTATTGTGTTATATAATCAATTATAAGTAGATTAAATATAATTATTAATTCACTAATTATAATAACTAAACCACATTCTACAATATGCATCACTATAATGTTGTGAACATTATTCAAATGTGTTTTAAAACACTCAAAAGGAGCGTTGAAAAGCCGGCAACTGGTTACCTAGATGAAGTAAAGAGGACGGAGGACGTGGAGGAGGCGGAATACCCGCCGTCCTCTGTCCTCTAACAACTAACTACATAATCACATTAATTGGCTGAGATGCTACCTACGTGTTTGAAGTTACAACGGAACTCTTATTCATCAAATTAAGATTTGAGTTCAATTAATTCGTTCTTCTTTTAAATACAATCAACCAGTCTTATTAATTTTATATTAAAACAATTTATATTGAAACAATTATGTACTTTTGTGAAATTAAAACGGTAAGGCGTATAATTTTAGAGGGGTCCGACTTATAGCTTTTAGCTTAAAGTGCACGTAAAATGAGGTGTGAAGCTCCACTTTGGAGGCCGGCATGGATTCAAAGCACGCTACCATCTCGGGTAGCGATAACTTTCCCATCGCTGCTTCCCATGACTTCTGCATTTCACCTTATTTTGGACAGCAATATACCACACCGTTTCCTCTTCGTAATGAATGCACACGCGACACAGAAAGGCCCGAGGTATCCATGGTCCGTGTGCACCTTACATAGAACGACAGGTGGCTACGCCCTATCCTACTGAGCGAGATATCTAGAACCAACTGGAATACCACAGACCACCCAAAATAACGGAGACTTTTCTGGCCTCAACACTATTGAGGCCAGTAAATTAACGGACCTTTTGAATTTGAAGTTCCAAAGGTTTAACCAGCTATAAAATTATCAGGTTGTGTGCAGTGCTGCAGTGCATGAAGTTAACGCACAAAAATTTTCTTCTCTCTTCTATCTACGTTTTTTGCTTTTTGTACAATTTATCGTAAAGTGTGATAGTAAAACATAAACTAGCATAGAATAACATGTTTATCTTTTTCTAGTTAAAACACAGTTCTTTATCTTAGAGAACGTCTTAAATGTTTCATCTGCTGACCCTTTAGTTAAATCGAGTTAAGGCATGATATTTTATTACCGCTAATATATGAATTTATCTTCATAGCGTTCGAAACCGATCTGCAAATTAAAAAAAAATGTAGTACAACCCATGAAAACTCTGCACTTGCGACATCAACCCTAAAAATAATTTTTTTTTTAAATTCGTTAATTTTAATTCTTTATTCGTAAACTTTTTTTCAAATAACGAAACTTAATTTAGTAGATACTCAATAAAAAATGGAAATTGGGTACCTAGATATTTATTTGTAATAAATTAGTCGAATCAAGCTAATCAAACCTTGATTAGAGGTGGTATTTATATGAATTGACATTGACATTTTAAAATACTGGTGATGACATTCTCATGTCATCATTGTCATCTCAATTGTGACATCTTGCTGACTGATGAGAGTGGTTTGTGATGTGATTAAATAAAAAAGGTTTATTTTATGCCTATGTAACGTGCAGATGTCCACAACTAAAACTCAAACTAAATAATGAAATAGCACGACCAGCCATTTACCATGGATCAGCAAGAAACATCGGTTTGTTATCGTGCTATTAATTTTATTTCTTGTATACTTAATCCAGTCGCAATTTCGCACTCAACTCATTGAATGGTTTGCCATACAATAATATGTATACGTCCCGTATTATGTTAGTCGTTCTTTGAATATATACCATATGCTACGAACGACCTTTACTTGCAATGTTTCCATCTGCTGCTGATGCTTACGTATACGATGCGAATATCTGGTTTCTGACAAATAAACAGGGATTTACCTATTTATTCAGTTTGCCTATTTGTTTTTTTTTTAGTATGGTCTGGTTAGTTTAGTTAGTCAATCAACAAAGCAAACAAAAAAACAATAATAACAATTAACCCTAAGTATACAAACAACTTGAAACATTATTATTTCAGAGTCAAGATAGTAGTCTGAAGAAGATTTCAATTGATGAATTGAGCAGAGATGAATTAATCAATAAATGCAAAGGATTTCTAGTAATAGCTCAAAAAGCTAAACTTGCCAAGACAGGTGTGTATAGTTTTGAAAATTTCATAATTTCAATGAATAATGATTAATAACCCTATTTTTACTCAAACAGAGTTGCAAAATGAACTTGATGGGTGCAAAAAGCTTGTGGAAAAATATGAAAAAGAAAAAAATGCCAGTTCAGAGAATATCAAAACCCTACAAGAACTGGTTGACTCACTGACAGAACAAAAACTGAATTTTATAACTGAAGTTGATTCAGCCCAATGCAAGATTAAAGCACTTAACAATAAGTGTGTAAGTTATGAGGAAGACATAAATACATACAAAAGTGATTTGATTGTGAAAGATAATGTAATAGCTGAAATAAATCAAAAGTTATCTGATCTTGATATAGAAGTTACTTCACTTAGAAGGCAGAACAATCGGTTATTGGAAGAAAACGAACAACTGTTGAGTCAACTCACAGAGTTTGAATCTAGAGCTGCTGAGTTCAATAATATTGGAATGCAACAGAGAGAACAACTAAAAATTTTAGAAGAGAGTGTCCATTCAGGTATTGTTTTCCAATTTGTTTATTAACTAACTGTACTAGTTTTTAAATATATTTATTTGTTTTTGCTATATTTTAATCCTTTGTTACAGAAGAGCAATATAAAACTGAAATTGAAGAGTTGAAGAGTCAAATTAAAGTTTTAGAAAATAAAATTCAAAGTAATGTAGACTTTGAAGCAAAATTTATTGAAGCAAATGAATTGTTTGAGTCTGAAAAGGCTAAAAAAGAAAAGGCTAATGTTAAATTGAGGAGTTATAAAGACAAAATATTAAAGTGTGCTGCATGCATTAATCAATTGAAAAATTCAAGATTCATATTGGCAAAAACTGTCAAAGAATATTCTGAAAACATTCCTAAATGGCAAAATGATATCATTAATGCATCAAAAGTACTTGATAATCAGATCAATGAACTTAACAGTGAAAATATTACTTTGAAAGAAAAACTTGCAGAACTAGAAAAACAGCTAAATGAATTGAAACAAACAAATATGGAGAACAATGTTATTGATACACAAATATCTGTTTTAACTCATGAGAACCTGGCATTCAAAGACAAAGTATTTGATTTAGAACAACAATTAAGGAGTAGTGGTGATGAAATTACCAAACTCAAACTTGATATAGATGACAAAACAAATAAACTGGAAGAGTATAAATTACAAGAGGAAAGGTTTAATGAGTGCAATATTAAATTAGTTGGATTAAATAATAAATATACTGAGCTTGATGAAGACGTAAAAACTCTGAAACAAGAAAATAAAAAATTACATGACACACTCCTTAGCCAAGGTCGAAATAATGAAGAACTTGAGACTCTCACTCTACAGATAAGAGCTTTAGAAAGTGAGAAATCAACTTTAGTCAAAGAGAAACTTAATGCTAGGGACAATGTCATTGATCTTGAAAAACAAGTTGCGGAATTGAAAGACAAACTTGATGAAACAAAAACTGAATTACAGTCTATGAAATCTCAGTTAGATTTACTGAATCAAGAAAAAGCTGCTTTTGAGACTAATTTCAAAGCTGAAAAAGAAGGTGAGATAAATATGTTAAAGTCTAATTTGATGGCTCAGCAGGAACAATTTAACTTGTTAAAGAAAGAGCATGAAGATTTACAAGATTTAAATAGCCTTTTGAAAGAGGAAGTGGATACTCTTAAACTTTCGTTGGAACAACCCAAAGATGATGCTGATTTATCAGATCTGAATGTCTCTTTACAAGCTGACATTGCCAAATTAGAGACTAAGTTAGCTGCTTATAAACAAGAAAATGCATCTCTTTTGTCTGAAATAAAAGATGCACGAAACAAATCCAAAGAATTTGACAGTCTTATTGTTGAATATGAAGATGCCAAATCAAAGTTGGGCAGTTACAAGTCAGAAAATACTGAATTATTGAATGAAATGAAAGAAATCAATCAAGTATTGAAGGAACGTGGCGAAGCAATATCTAAGCTTCAAAAAGCTGTATCTGAAATGGAAAAGTTAATAGAGACCTTAGAGAAAGACAGGGATAATATGAATCAAGAAAAAATGGAATTACTTAAAAAGAATGAAGGACTCCAAAGTGATTTAAAAACTGCAGAGCAAAAGTCAAACGAGAAGACTGAAACTGCCAATCAATTAAATGTTGATGTTGATAATGCCATGAAAGCTCTGTCTAAAAAAGATGAAATAATAGCATCTTTAAAAGAAGAAATAGACAAACTGAAACAACAAAATATGACATCAGGTACTGCTAAATTGTTTACTAAACAATGAAATGATTCTAGCTCTTATTTGTGTTCTTTACTCTTTAATGTGTACTAAAACCTAAATATAATACCTTATGTTACAGCAGAATTACCAAATGAAGACATGTCAACTTCAACTATATCTAAAGCAGAGGAACATTCTCGAATGAAAGATTTAGATGAAACATTTGAAGAGAAGTATGAAAATGAATTAGCAGATCACATAAAACTATATGTATCACTTAATGATTAATTATTCATTACTTACAGATATACTAAATTAAGGATATTTGCTCTAAAGCTTAAAAAGAAATTGAATGAGACTATTAGTCAGATGCAACAGACAGAAAAAGACAAAGCCAAGCTCGAAAAATTGTTGAATGAGAGCAAATCAGGTAACCATGTAGATGAAGTGGACAGTCGTCAAACAGATAACACTACTCATGCAGCCGAGAGTAAGGAACTAGAAGAAAAGGTGAAATCTTTAAATGTTGCTCTAGAAGCGACTAAAAATATTACTTCTGAATTAGACAAGTTGAAAGGTAACTACTATTTACTCCATGGCTATGCTAGGCATGGCTAAATAATCCATTACTATCTGTAGTAAGTCAACAAATAATAACATTTGTTTATTACAATATTTTAGCGGAATTAGCATTGAAAACTCAACAACTGGCTACTGAAGTGGAAGCACATAAAGTAACAAAGGATAATCTGGAGAAAGCACGACGCGATGTCAAGAAGAAGAATGTATTAAGCCTTGAAATGGAAGATTACGAACGGTCGATGAAAGAGCTTTCTACAAAGATGGAGGAGAGTAAGAAAAAAATGATGCAGGTGAATGCGTATTATATTTTATGGCAGATGAAAATATAATTACAATACAATTTATTTGATGTGGCAAAAATTATGATAAACAAATTTTCTATTATTATTATTATATACAGATGGAGTCAACAATAGACACACAAGAAGGAACAATCACAGCAATGCGAACGCAAATAAAACTGCTAGAGGAACAAATTAAGACTGAGGAAAGGCAAAACAGGCTTGTCAAGGAAGAACTACAAAACGCTATTGAAGATGGAAAAGAAAAAGACAATCTGATACAAGTGAAAAACACAGTCATATCTAAATTGGAACAAGATTTAGAAGACGAAAAGAGAAAGAATGAGGAATCTGATTTAGAGATGACGTCTATAATAACTGACAAAGAAAAAATTATAATGTCTTTAGGTGAAGATAAGGCAGAGCTTAACAATAAAGTGAAAAAATTGGAATTCAAATGCTCTGATTTGAATGAAAAGTTGAGAATTCTCAATATAGAATTGGCGGATTTGAAAACTGAGTATACAAGTTACAAGGTAATGATTCTCTATTTGAGCCCTTTCACACAAGTTACCTATTACTTACTCAGTTGTGTTAATTATGCATTGAATTGCTTTTGTTAGGTTCGAGCTCAGGCCGTTTTGCGACAGAATCAGACTGTCGATCATAGTCAAGAAGAACAGCTGAAAGAAGAGGCGGCTGCACTGAGAGCACAGATAGAAATACTAACAGCTAAACTTGCGACGGCTCAGTGAGTGTAAATTTATTTCATGTATTAACGGAGTTTTCCCGGGCAAATTGCAATTTCGAATTTATGATTGCTTGCTGCCCCACTAAAAGGAACGAACGTCTATGACATTACGATAGTTTCCAACTAGTCGAAATTTGAATTCAATAGTTTTATTGAGGTCATTTGAAAATCATCAAATGACTCCTCTCGCCCTGGAAATTAATATTAGACTCTTTAGATCTAAAAACCACCCAATTCCTTCTCCTGCCCTGCCTCGCGGTACATTTTAGCGCCATGACCCGCAACCATGACTGAAGACGATAGTTTTCTATGCATTTAGTATGAAATCACACTTTTGTAAATAAAATCTTAGGGAGCAAATAACAGAGAAAACATCGGAAGTGGAGAGCACAAGGAGACGGGCGGCGGAGGCCACGAATGAAGCGGCGCGCGCGCAGCAGAGAACTTCACGACTACAAGCTGATCTCAATCGACTGTCGCAACAGATTGAGACAGAGAGAACACAAAATAAGTTGCAGGTGAGGTTTACAGCGCCTTTATTTGGTAGAAAATTAAAAAAGATCACTCAATAGTTTCCTCCTACTCGAATAATAAAAATTAAAATTTGAGTCATTGTAACTTTAAAAATGTTGCTTTTTATAGGTCTCTACGCTGACGCAATGCTACAAAACTCAAATAAGCGAGTTGGAAGCTAAACTACAAAAAGAAATTGATTCGTTGAAGAAACAATTGACGGCCGCTCAGGAAGCGAAGAAGTCTGGTAATGTGGCCATACCTCCGCTCGCAGACGCCAACAGAAACGAGTACATGCTGCCAGTTATTCCCAAAGAAGAGAGCAGTGATGGCGAGATGGACATTAACGTCTCTATGATACCGAGGGAAGAAGGCGAGGTAATAAAATCTAACCGTGGTCATCTCCAGAACTACTGGTTGGTTTATATTTCACTGAAAAACATCACGCTACGATTTGTAGGAACCGAGCAGCGAGTGAAACCTCTTGACAGAAGCTAGTATCTTATATAATTTGGTGACCCCACTATAAAATTGTGATTATCGTACTTTACTACGGTTCATTTGCGAACTAGAGACATAGGTACATTCCAGATACAATTTCATTACGGGACTCAAAACCTTAATACTACTCGATAGTAGTTACGCACAGATAGTAATAGCTACGAAGGAAAAACAATAAGTATTCAAACTAAAAATGCCAACACATTTAGCTATAGGTAATTCCACGTAATTTACCTTATCTGAACATTTGCTAGCAATAAAATTTCTGCATGAATTTTTAAATAATTGTTTTCTTGAATAAATAATAGCAAATGTATGCTGTAACGAATATTTTTAGTACCTACACTATTGTGTATATTTATTTTCGCAAAATAGAACATTGTTCTAAGTGCACTTTAATTACTATATATCTCGAAACCAAATTTTTGTTGACATCCGTTTGTATACATATAATAAAGTGCGGAAGAGGCACGAATGGGTCGGCTCGACCGGAGTGATACCACTGCCTCGCAGAAAATCGGCGTGAACGGCTTTGTGTTACGCCGTGTATGTGAGTTTAACGGAGGTCCAATCCTTACTCTACCCCAATCCCTAATCCCCAAAAGGTTAATCGTAGCTCCTCTGTTGTTTCGGGTGTCCATGGGTGGCACTAATTTTAATTTTTTTTTATGCCCTTTCACATTAAAAAAATGTCTACAATAACGCAAAAAATAAATATATTTCCAGGGTTCTGAATTCGCTCCTTCTCCGCCACCTTCAAAGCCCTACCTATCCGGTGGGGCCAGCGGTCGATCCCCAGTACCATTGGAACGACTCTTGGAGGAAGGCGTTCCTGACGACGAGGCTATGGACACTTCCTCCTTTGCACTGACACCTGATCAGGAGATCGCCGACCTCAAACGAAGACTCCAAGCTCAACAACAGAGGTAAAGGTTCAGCATCCAAATACCTTAAGTATGCATTTTTCTGTATTCAGTTTTAAATAATCCTCTTTACTTACGAATTCCAGCCTTTTTATCATACAGTGTTCTTCAAACCATAACATGGTAGTTGACAGCAATTTAAATTCAGTTTTTTTAATGAAATATCAAAATTGATATGAATTAAGTGTGTGAGAGCCATGATTCGGCATGACAAATGCAATAGCTCTACACGACCCGACTTAATAAGAGTAGTCAAAAGAATTCACAATGCGTGGTTTTAATCCCACCATGAAAAGTGTGGCCGTAGTTCGTGCTAGATATTATACCTATAGCTGTGTTTACTTATGTAAAAGCCTCTGATTCCTAACGATATGTCTTGTGTGATCGTACAGGGTGAAACACGTGACAGTACTACTGTCGGAGTCTGAACGCGAGTGCGCGCGCATGGCTCAGTTGAGCGAGCTGCTGAAGGCAGAGCTTCGACGAGTTCGGGGAGCCACACAGAACGCACACAACACCGAGTATATGAAAAACGTCACGCTTAAGGTATACATAATCTTAATCTTCTTCTTATATATAAAAATGGATCGCAAAATGTGTTGGTAAGCTCATAACTCAACAACGACTGGGTCAATTTTGTTTTGTTTGTTACTGTTGAATTATTCGCTGAAGACCAGGGAAGATTTAAAAGGCCAAAACAAATAGTTATATTAGAGGCGTTACGAAGTTTGCCAGGTCAGCTAGTTATTTTTATTAAAGAAATGGGAATGCTCCGATGATTTTTTCGGTTTAATCCCCTCCGCATATTTTTTTGAAACACTTCCATCTTCATCATGTTGATTATCATTATAGTTAAACAACTGCAATTTTCGCAAATTTGTCTACCTACTTACTGCAAAACTTTGGGATGATCTTTTGGCGGGACCGAAAGATCATCCCAAAGTTAAGTATTTCTGGAATATATTAAGTATTTCTGGACCGATGTGGCCTTGCGACCTGTTCAACCCTTAAACAACCAACGGACTTCTTAAAAGGCTGGCAACGCGTATACGACTCCTCGACGAGGATGGTCCGTTTTTGTCTCAATCAAATGATTTTTATTTTATAGAATACTTGTACCCAGCATAGTATCAACATAACTATGTTTTTTGCCATTTGGCTAGGAAATTTTGAAGACGTCTTAACTTAGTATTGTTGAGCTATGGGTGAGGTATTGACCGGAGGATAATCCTCATTCCCCAAGTTCCTGAATACCCGAAGGTCAGCTACGCACTTGTAACTCGTCTAAGACTCAATGAGCTACATGCGCTTGCTTACACTTTTCACCTTAGCTCGTCTGCCACCCAGTGACGGATTAACCTTTTATCAAATTAAGCAATTGCCTAGGGCATCACATCTGGGGGCACCAGAAGAAGCACAAAAAAGTCCGTCCTTAGGGCAGCACCAATCACGTCGCTCTCTCACGTCACCAAAAACCACACCAAAAAAGTTTCTGTTTCTGTTTCTTTCACTAATTTGAAAATTCGCGCGTTTTAAATTGACAGAGAGCCCGACTTAGAGTCATAATCCCGCTCCCGCTTGCCCACTCGCTGACTGCTAGTGCATTCGGCAATTCACTAGCAATCACAAACCACCCCTTCCCGCGGGCCACCCGTCTGGCGCCCCTGCAAATCTGTGTCAGTCAATCTTTTGTTTTTTTGAGTAATTGTGCCAACCGGCTTCTATGCATACGTTACACAATTAATTTGATAGTTAAAAGTTCTTTTTAAAATTAAAAATATTAAAAAATGAAAAAAAAGGAACAAAGATGATACAAAAATGGCTTGATAATATATGGATACTATACATAGAGTCCGATATGTTTAAACCATTAGACGTTAATACTATTTCGCATGCATTCAATGCCCGAAAAAACCACAAGGCTCATTTCATTTTATATCTAAAATAATACTATAAAGAGGTAAAATTTGTAAGTTTGTATGTAGGGGGTAACTTTGGAACCGCTGGTCGGATTTCCAAAATTCTTTCACTGATAGATAGCTACAATATTCCTGAGTGCTATAGGCTATAAAACATCACGGTACGATCTTAGGAGCTGAGCAGCGGCAGCAGGTAAAACCGCGCGAGAATAGCTAGTCTTGTATAAATAAATCAATTATGCTTTGGTTTTTATTGTTGTCGCACCTACTCCAGTTTTAAGGTACAGGTAAGGTAAGGTACATTACATCTCATCATCTTATTTTACAAAAAAAACTAATGTTTTTAGGCGGTAAAGGTTTAAGGACCGATTCGAGTTGACATATGGGCACAGCTGCCACCCTATGCCGTGAAGAAGTAATAGTAAATTCTGTTTTATGACTTCAATACCTCGTATTATACTTAGTTAGGGAAAAAATATGAGAAACAGTCAGGGTCTAGAAAAGTTGGTCACAGGTCACGAATTAAACAAGAAGACGGTAGCATTTTCTAACAATGCGACCATATTTCTTCGAATGTTCTGTATTGCTGGATTACATTAATGTAAATGGTTGTACAATGTTCATTACAGTTCCTGACACTGCCACCCGGTGACGAGCGCAGCCGGCTGGTACCAGTGCTGCAGAAGATACTCACACTCACACAAGACGAGACGCAGAAAATCAACGCTGTCGCTAAAGGTAACATTAATTAAAAAACAACAAACACATCACATCAAAGTATTGGATATTAAGTATTAAATAGTGTTTAACTATTTTACTGACGACAATACACTTTAACAGACATTATTGTTTTACAGGTTTGGACCCAAACCCAGGGAAAGGATGGGGGAGCTACCTTCCCTGGCCAGGAGGGAAATAACAACAAATATATATTTAAACGTATCTAACAAAGTACGATAGCCGTGATCCAAGCAATAGTGAATTGTAAATTATCTGTGATTCCATTTATCGACGAAACACTTTTTCATTATTTCAGGACTTTATTGCATTTAAGGCTATATTTTTTCGGCTAAGTGTATCTTATTGGATAATAAACGTTTCTATTTTCAAATGCTTATATTATAAAATTTATAGTGATAGCTTACAATTATTTAATTAGCCATATGTAAATAAGTAATTGAGAGATAAATATAGATTTTTATTATATTATTCCTGTAGTTGTTATTAAGCAAGTAGTCTGGGAAAGGAAAGCACTTAATCAGATTTTCTAAAGGTATTGGGTAACACATTGTAATAGACATTTAACCTATCATTATAGCAATAAATTGTTGTTTTACTAATGATATATTAGCGTTAATCGTTCATTCCAGTCTTTTTAGTATAATGAAGGTAATAATTCCAGAAAGTGCATTATGTGGTTAATAATTACAGCAATAATAAACGAGGTTATTGCATAATAACCGATTTCAATTGATGAATGATGCAATGCGGTGATGTATTATAATTGATGCTAAAAATATTATTTAATGTCGTATTGAGAACACCAATAATAAAAAAAAACAAATGGTTAATATTTTACATTCCGTAAAATGTAACTGATTCCACTTGCCTTATTTGCTGTACACCTAGATAGGTTTATTCATTTAGTAATTTTGGTAAATAATTTATAAAAATAAGTTTTACTTTTGAACAATCCACATTTTTGATGAACATTAATGACAACTTTCTTTGGTTTTTCTTCCAATTGTGATGCACATCAAGTATGTGTGATGAAAAGTAGAGACACGATCACCAATATAACAGAAATATTTTATTCACGACTGTTACTATAGAATAAACTGTCTTCGGACACGGAGTATAAGACGATACTATACAAACTTCAATGCTTCAAGAAAACCCTTGGTGTGGCCGGTGTCCGGGGCGACGCTTACCAAATCATTTCCATAAAAAATCTCTTAAAAAATACGGATAGCAAAAATTATAGATTTAAAAAAAATAAAATGTTGTATTAGGTACATACAGGTTGATATAATCAAACAAGAAGTGTCCATCAGTTAGTCCATTTGAAAATAACTGCTTAAACTGGTTTATAGATTACAAATTAAACGTTCTCATAGCCAAACTGTTTTCTGCAACTGCAACATTGCGAGTAGATGAAATTATATCTAAGAAAACAAAAATAGATCACACGGATATGTTATTGAAATTATAATTTTTTAACGACTTATTAAATGATTTGTTATGCAAAAATTATTTTACATAAAAGATTATATTTTAATTTTAATTTAATACTTAATTATTTGTTATAGTAAATATGTAAGTATTTTCGATTGTAATTTTAAGAACTAAATTAAATATTTAGTTTAAACAATAAAGTTTTGCGATTTTTTATAAATGGTTTTATTTATTATATTAAAATCTAATTCCCAATCAAATATCATGCCACTGATCAAATTTATTTAACTAGGTAGGTATGTGCTGCTTAATACAGGGCTCTTGACAGTTCTGCCAAGAAATAAGCTAATTTATTGAGCAAGAGGCGCCTACTTTTTGTTCAAAATAGCTATGTCTATGCGACCATACATACTCTTCCTAATCCCGACACAAAGCCCTATAACAATATTTATCAAATGTTTCAGCAATACTATTTGTAAGTAAGTACAGCTATCACAGCTTTCAACCTATTGAAAACCATCCCCAATTATCTATGGCCGTGTTTGGAATGTTTCGTAAAATACCTTAACTATTTTGTGCCGTGGTGGACTATTAATTAATGGTCTACTAAAGAGCTTAGAAGTATAATATTTTAAGGGTATGAGAGCAAAAACTACCCCAAAAGTAAGGACTTATCGGAGCCGATGTCTTTCTCTACACAGTTTGGTAATACTAAACCAGCGGATTAAAAAAAAATCTTTGGCTAAGTACCCATGGATATTGACAAATTTAATATTACCGTAAATACACTAAATACTTGGTACTGAAATAATTTATTCTGTATTTATTATATATTCATCATCTAGGAATAGTACATATTAAACATAATAAAATCTCTAAAAAGTTCTAAATATGAAAAAAAATATCGACATAAAAATCCTCATTTCATAAATATATCTCTTACTTGTACCTAGACATCGAAAAAAGCACAAAGAAAAAGAAAGTTGCGAACTTCCGGTTTTTCATATTGCTTTTCAATTTCCAATTAAGTTTAAAGTTATTATTTAGTTAATGTGCTATCTTCAATAATTATAATACTTATTATAATAAGCTTTACAAGAATATACCTTTTAATTTTAAAGTATAATCATCTTAAAGTATTAATTTGATTTTATTGATTGCATTTCCCGGGCGAATTGTTCACGGCGCATGCTCGAAAATCGCTCGGAAAATTCGTGACTGCGGCAGCAAAGGTGAGCTTTTCTTGTGTTTTATTGTAAAATATAAAAGACTTTAGTTATTTTAAAGCATTTGGGCCATACTGTAACATCTGGACAGCAAGAATTCGGTATAAGGTAGTGATTTTCAATAAAATATTTTTCAACTTAATTTATACGCAAGTACATTCTACCGGTATGAGAATTTTAAAATTACGCAATTTTATTGTTTTTGTAATATATTTATCATTTCTGTTGACTGTATTGCAATAGAGATAAGTTTTTGTGAAAATGATAATGATTATATGGGTGCCGATTCTCATGTTACACATTTTGTTAAATTTTCTGGTAAAGAAAAGCATGGAATCTTAACGAGACTATATTTTTGAAAACAAGGGGCATATTTTCATTTTAGTTTATTCAAAAGACTCATCTTTTCCATTCCTGATATCCTGTCTCTTTTAAGCTTGAAATAAAGATTCTTCTTATTTTAAAGTTATGTCACATTAACGTCACTGTGATTAATTTTGATAAATTTTCGACTAAATACCAGGCACATGGCGGCTACTTATAATATATTTGATGTAGACTACCTAGAATATTTAAGATGGACGCACTGCGAAGCCCATATGCGTCGCCGGCACATATGATGCCTGTGTAGTGCAACATGCTATTAGGTATTCTAATTCTGAATCATACTGATCATACTGTTGCAAATACATCTGCTTAAGTACTTGTATAGATCACGTCTACTAATTTTAGATTGAATGCACTTTCTACTTGTGATAGTTAATAAATATATAGATACTGCCATTGCGTCGAAATCATTGTACAGTTTCTGTCAAGTGACCGCGCCGGTAAATCGAACTTTGTTGTATATTAATGCGTAAATTATAAGTTGACATTGGAGTGATCATATTTGCAGCTCATCTTGATATTTTCAGAAATTTCAAGTGAAAGGTAGGCACCACCCACACCTACCTACGCTATCTACTTTATTACCTAGGTACCTATTTGATGCGCAGATGTAGATAAAATTCTAGAATATGATGAAATTATTTTATTTTACACTAATAATAATTGCATAACACTAATTGTTTACATTATTAGGGTACCGTATACTTATTTGTGGTAGTTTTTGGGTTCCCATATTACGTACATAATGACAACATTTTTTTTTTCTTTCAAGGAGGAATTAAAAATTGTTTGCGTTGCGGTTTTGTTGTATTGATTTTAAAAGAGTAAACGATATGTGTTATATATTTGTGAGAATATGTCTATATTTGGCATAACAGCTTCGCTGTATCGATGTGCCGGATCTCCTACGCGCACGCCCGAAGGAGTGACTCTTTGGGAAAACTGCGAATCATTCTATCGCCCACCTATTGTTAGTGCACTTTAAGTGCAGCAAACTTAGGACTAGGTAGCTACGTGGGTGTATAAGAATTAATGAAACTATTTTCTGCTTCACATAGGTTCTTTGGTTTAAATAGGTATACATAGGTATAGTGCAGAGAATTATACTTACCCTTTCGGATGCTTAATTTAGCGGGAAATTTGTGAATCAAAATATCAGACCTCTAATAAGATGCTTCGCAAGGCGTAGAAAAGGTTCTTAGTTAACATAGGGTAGGTTACATAGAAGAATATGTGAATCAGAAGTTCCATGTGTCCGGATAACGCTGGAATTTTCTGGATTGATCCACTCCACCCACCTTTACCTGCTCGAATTTACGTTATATAAAATATTGCTCGCGTTATTACGTTGCGTCTTGAAATTCTATTGATATAATCAAATGTTGTTTAGGTTACAAGTTTTGATCCACACGTTTCGCTTGACACGAAAGGATGGGTAAGGAGAAGACTCACATTAACATTGTGGTTATCGGCCACGTAGACTCCGGCAAGTCCACCACCACTGGTCATCTGATTTACAAATGTGGTGGCATCGACAAGAGGACCATCGAGAAGTTCGAAAAGGAGGCTCAAGAAATGGGCAAGGGTTCCTTCAAATATGCTTGGGTATGTCCCTCATACCTAATATATAACATTTTTAAGGATCTCGTTGAATGTTTTCCAGTTGCTAGAAGTAGCGTAGCTATGCACCTATTAGAATGGTTTCTGAGATTTAAATTGAACAAGTTAAACAATACATGATTGGTGGTTAAATTTATAGGTATTAGACAAGCTAAAAGCTGAGCGTGAGAGGGGTATCACAATCGACATAGCCCTGTGGAAGTTTGAGACAGCTAAGTATTACGTAACCATCATCGATGCGCCCGGACACAGAGACTTCATCAAGAACATGATCACCGGCACGTCTCAGGTAAGTTATCGTAATTTTAACAAAATTGCGAGTGCGATGCGAGCAAAATTGTTCGAGTATAAACTTTCCAGTAGGGGTCGCCCTACTGGAAAGTTTATACTCGAACTACAATGGCGCATATTGTATGTGCCAGGCTGACTGCGCGGTGCTGATCGTGGCTGCGGGTACTGGCGAGTTCGAGGCGGGTATTAGCAAGAACGGACAGACGCGCGAACACGCTCTCCTCGCCTTCACCCTCGGTGTAAAACAGCTAATCGTTGGTGTTAATAAGATGGACTCCACGGAACCACCGTACCACGAGGCACGCTATGAAGAAATCAAGAAAGAAGTATCTTCCTACATCAAGAAGATTGGTACGTCTAAATTCAAAAGATCCCAATAAAATTAACTTATTAGTTTTATTTTATTGTTGTTCATAAAACGCTCAAGGAAAAATATGTGCTCGCTCTTGTTAAATGAGGTGAACAACTGTATGTATTCATTTGCTGCCAATGTTACAATCCCATATAGTAAAGTAATGCTATCTGGCTGAGGGGAAAAGGGTCAAAGACAAACGCATAGGAGATTACGGGCTCCTCATGTCTACTTAAAACACCACACTACTATGGTAGATCATAGTAGTGTGGATGCATAAGGTGGAATTACACGAAAGAGACGAATTAATATAAGTTTGATGCGCCAGGGTACAACCCTGCCACGGTGGCATTCGTGCCAATCTCTGGCTGGCACGGTGACAACATGCTGGAGCCTTCCGACAAAATGCCCTGGTTCAAGGGCTGGACTATCGACCGCAAGGAAGGCAAGGTCGAGGGCAAATGCCTTATTGAGGTAAACTACATTTTTCTTAATTTAACACATATTTTAGAATTAGGTACTAAGTCACAAATAAACTTTAACCTACACAAAGTCAGCGAAGCGCATACATTTTCGATTGGCTACTTTCATCTCATTCCTTTCGAATAAGTCCTTAACCTTTTAGTGTGATGAGTGGTATAAGCGAATGCACGCTTATACCACTCTCTTTGAAAGGGCAGAAGAGCTGTAAAAGTAGGTATTTCTAATGAGATAGGTATTGTTGTCTCTAACAAGCATGTAGAAAAAGGAGAAATATGACGAATTAAATAAGTAGGTACGAAAAATTGAACACAGGCTTTGGACGCGATTCAACCTCCATCCCGACCTACGGAGAAACCGCTGCGCTTGCCTCTCCAGGATGTATACAAGATAGGAGGTATAGGCACAGTGCCCGTTGGAAGAGTTGAGACCGGAATCCTCAAACCTGGTAAGTAGACGATCTATCTAGAATTATACCCAAAAGTAGCTTCAGTTTATCGATGTACATTCACAATAGTTGAAGCACTAGATGCAATATACAAGTACCTATTAAAACTTTGTGTAGGAATGGTGGTGGTATTTGCGCCTGCCGCCATCACCACTGAGGTAAAGTCAGTGGAGATGCATCACGAGGCGCTGCAGGAAGCTATGCCGGGAGACAACGTCGGCTTCAATGTCAAGGTACGGGCCATGTAAAAACTAATAGGTACCTATTACTTT